ACGCACATATCGATGATGTTAATATGTTAAAATAAATTTATCACCAATATGTACATGCCACATACATGCACGGTTAGCATTACTACCAAATTCTTTATAGCTGGAGGAGCATAAACTGCTCTGTCCCAGTTTGCCAAATTCTTCCAGAAAAACCTTTTCTCCCACATTCTCTTTCTTCTCTCTGTTTTTTCACTCATAAAAAGAGCATCTTTTTATTCTGCTTTTTTCATGTACAAAGCCCAAAAAAACTGCAAGCCCATAAAATTTTGCTTACTGGGTTCTTGTCTTCTTTCTCTTACAAGGATCACTTTGTGCGGATCCTCTGGATTTTTGCTGGTAATATGTTGATCTGCGTTTAATTTTGTTTAAGTTTCTTTAATTTAGTTTATGTAGTTTTTTATGTTGTTGTTTAGTGTGACTGAACATTTTTAGGTGTTTTGTGTGTGTAAAATTCATGGGAGTTTGCTAAATTTTCATGTGTAAAAAAACAGTTTTTACGCACACACACAGACAGACAGACAGAAGCCCCATGTTGTGTATGTTTACAATTTATTAATTAGACCATAATTGGGAAAAATTTCATCCTACCTGTGGGTAGTGCCCCCACGGGGTTGTAGCCGCCGTTAGATCAACACACACCCACATTGGTGTGTGTGTGAGTGTGTGTGTTCTGATGGCTAAAGACCCCGTGGGACTCGAGTCTACCCTATGATCGAGTGGGATTAGAATCTTTGTGTTTTTTATTTTACTCTTTTGGTACTCATCTTGATTGAGCTTGTTCATGTACCGTTAAGGCATTAATGTGTGTTCTGATGGCTAAAGACCCCGTGGGAATCGAATCTACCCTATGATCGAGTGGGATTAGAATCTTTGTGTTTTCTTATTTTCCTCTTTTGGTACTCATGTTGATTGAGCTTATTCATCTACCGTTAAGTTGTTAACGTGTTTCCATTTGTATACTTGTTGATATTGTTGTCTAAGTTTGGCTATAGTTTTCACCGAGGTGGTTGTCTCTTTGCCTGTATATAAACTAGAATCTGAAAGAGAAACATATTTATCGAAAGAAAGTTAGCATTTTCGGTAAAAAGACCGTATTTAGCATAAAAAATATCCGACTTGAACATCTATAGTTGCATTATAATGTTTCTTCTGAAGACACAGATAATTCATAATAGTATTTGTGGATAGATACACTTCACTTGTTATTTCTCTTGGATTTCTATTTTTGTACTTTCATGGTATATCAATTGCACATTTCATGGGAAGCTTTAGACCGATAGAGTGATATAGAGTTTCCTCTTACGATTATATTCCATAAACTACCTCCGAGGTTTAGTTTAGTTACAGAACAATCTAGTTTATCTTTCGAAATTACAAACTCTACCATCTTTCCTGTCCTCTTTCACAATATTTGCAATACTATACAAGATAATGAAAGTTGGAAGGTAACTTGAGCTCTTTGTAACTAACCCTCGGAGAAAAAAATTTCAGCTTCAGCCTTCAGGTCTTCTCCATTTTTGCCCTGATATATCTGTGTATACAATCAGCTGCCAATTGAATTGAATTTATGCTTGTTATAGCAGGACTATAGATACAAAGCCAACGTTTTTTAAACACGGTAGATGAATGTAAAGAAATGCAGCTATACCACCACCCGTTTTCATTGGATAGCCAGAAGGTGAGGCTCGCATTGGAAGAAAAAAACATCGACTACACGTCTTTCCACATCAACCCCATCACGGGCAAGAATTTCGACATCAGTTTCTTCCGGAAGAATCCGAGCGGCAAGCTCCCGGTTTTCCAGAATGGCTCCCACATTTTATACGACACGATAGAAATCATCCAGTATATGCTCGTTTTCAAAATTTTTTCCTTTACTATTTCATTGAGTTCCCTTTTTTTTTTATAATTTTTGTTTTTCCGAAAATTTACAGGTACATAGATAGAATCGCGATGGTCTCGTCGGGCTGTGACGGGCCCACGCTCGCCTCACCCGAGACCACAAATTGGATTAAAAAAATCCAACAATGGAACTCGGAATACTTCACGCTCTCACACCTCCCGGCCAAACACCGCCTCTCGGCTTCGAAATTCCTCAGGCGAGTAATAATCGCACGAATGGCCGAGTGCCCGGAACTTGCGAGCGCATACCACCAAAGGCTGAAAGAGGCTTACGAGACGGAGGAGAAACTCAAGGACTCAGAAGTTCTGACGAGAAGTCAAGTGCAGCTCGAGAGGATACTTGACGAGGCGGAAATTCGGCTGAACGAGAACAAGTATTTGGTTGGGGAGAGTTTCACGCTGGCCGATGTTGTGTTTGTACCTGTCCTGAGCCGGCTGGCGGTGTTGGAGTTGGAGGAGAAGTATATAGAAACGAGGCCGAATGTGGCTGAGTATTGGGGTTTGGTTCGGGAGAGGCCGAGCTACCGGAAAGTGATCGGAAAGTTTTTTGATGGGTGGAGGAGGCACAAGACTCTGTTTAAGACATGGTGCTTTGTGAAGATAAGGAGTTTATTGAAACAGTATTAGTGGTGTTTTTTTTTTTTTTTTTTTTTTTTTTTTTTTT